CTTAACCCTGGAACTGATGATAATAGTGGTATTTCCTAGTTTTCTTTTTTTGATATCTCAAAGGGAGATTTCATTGATTTTTGTGGAAGGTGAGAAGTTTTTGGTTTAAGTGAAAAGTTTTTCTTTACTGTTCTCTTTCACATGCCTGCTTTTGAATCACTGTCGGATGAGAAGTCTCATATCATCAGTTTAATTAACAATGCGCTTTCCTCTTGTTTTAGCTTTTCTCGTTTGCTCTCTTGTTTTTCGGTAAACTGACTGATTTCATAACGGCACTTTTGTTCAGTGGATATCCGTAGACTGATTTCATAACGGCACTTTTGTTCAGTGGATATCCGTATACAAATCTTAAAGGGTGATACTATATCAATAGTTGTGTATGGCAGTATGTTTTGGTATGCCACAATTCGATGACTGATCGGGATTTTTTATTTTTGCACGGAAAGGGACTCGTACAGTGCTTTTCAGTTCTTATGGATTACTCTTGTAGTGTATCAGATTCGTTTTTCACTTTACAGATCTATATACAAAAAAAAAAAAAATTACAACAAAAAGAATTGAAATTTCATACAACAAAAGTTATTATTGCTGAATTAAGATTGTAATTTGAAATTAGAAATAGAATTATAAACAAGAGATACTCAGTAGTAGTCAAGTGATTCGTTTCATTTTTATGAATCCCTTTAACCTTGTCAGTGCTGATCAAGTACCACTTTAAGTTGTCGTATTATGTCTTTGTTCCATTCTGAGCCCGGATTTCTCAGAGCAACATCAAATCTCAGCGCAGTTTAAGATATGAACTGCAGCAAACCAGATTTTTGAGATTTTTGAGTAAGTCCTGTCAAGAAGGAAATACATTTATATATCAGTTTCCTTTTTGTCCTTGTTCCTCTCGTGTCTGTAACTCTTTTTTGCCTCTCTGATTTTTCCATCTTTGGCAGGTATAGTTCACAGCTTTACACTAATTATAATCTCCGCTCTCCCACTGCGCAATGTAGTGTGAATGAGGTAATAACCTATCAGTCCTAGGAAGAGTAAATGTTGCCAATATTTCTAGTGATAAACAATTCATATTACCGAATGTAGTGGTTAACTAACTTCCGACATTGAATATTTCAAATGTATTCTACTTCCCAAAATGCTGCTTCCTTTCTTACATTACAGATCATAACCTCCTTCTCCTATCAATCCATCTTATTTATTGCAGTATTTTACCTCCTCCATGTTAAATTAAAGGCGGCCAATCCGTTTATTCCAAAACAATGAAACAACATGCTGGACAAATTTATGTTTTTAGAACAAAAAACTTTTCTTCGTCAATCTTTTTCTAACATGCAGGAACTTTAAAACATGGAAAAAATACAAAGACAGTATGATTCATTTGGTTTCTTATTAGATTGTATGGAAATTTTGAAACCTCAAGGAAAATCCCCAAAGTTCAGAAAGACTGACCTTTTAAATTCCGAAATTTTAAAATAGAGAAGGAACCGATATGGTACGCCGCCACTTTGATTTAATTAAGCTTATTTTTATTCTCGTATTTTCCCATAAGAATTTATTGTTATAGTTTAAATCAAATGCTATTTGGGTATTTGGAGCATTTGAGATATTGATATAGAATTGATATTTTCATTACGTTGTTAATTCATTCACTACCTTTTCTTGCAGTACGTTTGCTTGAGTGTTTCTATTGGTGATAATATAACAATAAAAGTATGGTAAAGAAGCATGCACAAATGAAAATCGATTGCGACAAATTAATAACAGACAAGAAAAGGAGGAGAAATTCCGATCATTAACAGAAATGTAAGCCTTACAATGACCAGATGTTAAATTACTTCCAAATATTCCGTGAGATATTCCCCAGGAAAAGGAACACCGCAAACGATACAAGTGAAATTTAGTGCATCATCAGAAATCCGAAGTTTAATCCGAGGCTAAACCTTTACCGATTCAAGTAAAACTCTGTACAGAAATAACAAAACAGATCTAAGAGTTGAAAAAAAAAGGAGATAAAATATCGTAAACAAATGCAGGAGTATGTGGTGCGTGTAAATTAACAACTTAGCCAAAACATCAGAAAGGAATATGTTGAATGTATACTTCTAACATATTTCATCCAGACAGGCGCAATATGAGAAAACTGAAATGTGAACTCAAATATCGAGCAGTCAAGTAGAGGAAGCTAACGAGCCAGCAAAATTCAGTCATTTTCCGCAGTAAATTTTGTCGGATTCGTTCTTTTCGCCGAATAAAGCACAAATAAAAGCAACAACTTTGGGAATGAACATAACTCAAATTCAGGACGTCCGGAATATGGTCAAGTTCAATTTAAGAAAAAGTTATCTGTCCTCCCTTAATTCAATTCCCTCCATCCCTCAGAGAAAACAATTTACTGAATTTCGAAAATGATAGGTGCCACATCACTCCTATCTCGGGTCAAATCCAACGTAACTTATATTTTAGAAATTACCATGTTCTTTTATCTTTGCTTTAAAATTCTTTCACATATAACAAGTAAAATTTAGCGAAACATGCAATAAATGCATCGCAAAACAAGTTAAAATCAACTAATTCGAGCTTCTGCTCTGAGAACTTCGGCTCGAATCTGAACTGCTCGAACGCTTTGATGATGTACTGAAATTAGTTTAAAAATAAGTGGAATTTAAAACAGAATCCTTCCTCCTTACGAAAAATGATACTGCAGCGTAGAAAGCACGTTGCTACATATCATAAAGCGATGCACGCTTTAGTCGTTTTCAGCTACAAGAATGAATATGAGATTTGGAATAACTACTGCTAGAAATGGAAGTTTTATATCAGGAAATAAAAATGTATCTCAACTTACTAGATACTGGCTATTAATATATCATCTACTTAACAATTCCAAAAAGCGCTTAAAAAGCATGCTTTCAATTTTTTAACGTTTCCCTGATAGTTGTTCGCACTCTTTCGTCACTTATATTTTATTCATTGCCCACTTCTAATCCTTTTTCTTCTGAAGAGATTCTGTTCCACTACTTCCTCTACTACTCGCTAATCATTCGACTATAGTTTTTTTT